AAAATTTCTGCCAATGGAGTAAGAAAATTTTACTTGGTAAGACTTCTTGAAATACTTGATTTGACTCAATTTTTTTTCTTATTTCAAGAATCTTATCTAGTAAAATTTTCTTACTCCACTGGCAGAAATGTTTGACTTAGCCTGAGAATTTGACTCAAATTAACAAGACAAATAATCTTACATGTTCTGAAAACAAGATTATTATTCTTACGCAATCAGTTCTTGTTTAGTAAATCAGTCTAAATATAAGATTAAAAAGACTTTTTGGCTGATATAAGATTTTAAAACTTGGTAAGATGGACAGTTTTTGCAGTGTATGTCTAAAAATGGCTGAATAATAAGTTGTGACTAGCATTCAGGATATTGTTTGGATCGTCAGATAAAACATCATCTCAATTTTTTTTAAAGCAGCTGAACTTAAGCCATTTGGATTTAACTGTGGCAACTATCATAAGTTTTAAAATCCAGACTTCTTATCTTTTTTCACTTTTATGTGTCTCCCTAAAAACAACCTAAGCTCCATTCTGATGGGTTTAGTTTTACCTTGGGACCCCATGCTATTTGTAACAATTGCAGAGATTGTCTGTGTTGTTAATCCCGTGTGAATCGGTCAAGTCAATAATTTGTAAAGTAAAAATTCCCCCTCAAATTACCTTCTATATTTTGCTGAACTTGGAGGTCCTGTGATAATACCAATCCAATGAGAATAGGCATCTCTGTGATTTGGACAGGAATGGGCTGAACCTGATATGTAATTAGGCATTTTTTGGTTCCTGGGCATATTTTTATTTGCTTTTGGTGAAGAATGGAGGCTGGATTGGAGTGTATTGAAAACGTTTTGGGTCCCGGACCGGCAAAACCCTACCGACCCATAACGTGYGGCAACGTTATTGTAAAAGTTGACCAGATCAATGAATCTTTCTTGAGAGTTTCATTAAAATCCCTGACAAATTTCGACCCCAAATAGTTTTTGTAAACATGTTGTTCAAGAAGCTCTGCAGAGGTGATAAAACAGCAGCAATGAGAGGATCCAAACCATTGTATCCTCCTCTGTACACAGTCTACACATCTGATCCAGCACAGTTTTWTCATTTTGTTTGCTGTGAACACCACAGCTCTCTCAGGTGGAGCTCAGTTTCTCACCACAGCCACGGCGTCACTCGCCAGCAGCGACGGCATGTCCAGGACCACGTAGTATGCTGCGTTGGTCAGCAGGTAAATGATGGTGACCACGGGCATRGAGATGGCGATAGCTAGGGGGAGATTCCTGCAGAGAGTGGAACAGGAGCTGAACAGATACAGATAAAGCTCTGCCAAATTTACTTGGATTATAAACAAAAAAAATCATTGAGAAAAATGTACCAGCTAACATTTATAATCATTATCAGTTACTGTATGTCTCCCAGATAAGAATATTTATTGTATTGATTACTATTCAGCACGTCTAGAACCAGTACTAGAGAACATACGTAAATGATGGCATAGAGACTGAAGTTGTAGTGTTATCAGGAAGTTGCTGGGGTGTTGACATTTGGTTCAAACAGTGAGTGAAGATCAGCTACACAGAGGRGTTTTCATTAAACAGGATTACTAAGATGTAATGATGTTTGACAGAAGTTAGGGGGTCGTATGTTCTAGCTATGTGGCCTGTGAGTGACCTGATACTGGAACCAATCAGGGCTCCCATAGTCATGAAGTTCCTGGTCACCCGGGACACCATCATCAAAAATGATAGTTAAAAAAGAAAACAGTTTATTCATCCATCATCTTCCTTTTATTCCAGAGTCGGGTCGCGGGGCAGCAGTTTGATCAAAGAGGCCCAGACCTCTCTTTCCCCAGCCACCTCTTCCAGCTCTTCTGGGAGGACTCCAGTATGTGTTCCCAGGCCAGCAAAGGAACATAGTCTCACCAGAATGTTCTGGGTCTTCTCTGGGGTCTTCTCCCAGTTGGACAGGCCCAGAAAACCTCTCCATGGAGACTCCAGAAGGCATCCWTACCAGATGATCCCCCTTAACTGGCTCCTCTGGATGTGGAGGAACAGCGGCTCTACTCTGAGTCTCTCCTGGAGAACTGAACTTCTCACCMTAAGGGAGAGTCCATCTAAGCTACCCTGCAGAGAAAACTAATTTCAACTGCCTGTATCCAAAGTTTGTGGCCACAGTTGAGGGTATAGGGGTGCAACAATACAGAAAGTTCACTATTCGGTTCAATACTTAGTTTTACTGTTCGATATTTTTCGATACAAAAAAGAGAAATGCCYATGCCCTTCTTAATTTGTAATTTATTTAAATGAATTATGAACATTTGTTTAACCTCAAAAGTACAGTTTGTAAATTAAACATTGCTGAAACAGCAAGTTTCTCAGTGGATCTGTGCTCAACAATGCAGTCTACATTGAGTAGTTGAACACAGATCCACTGATCCTTCAACACAGAGCATCTTCAGAAGACAAGTTGATGAAATAAATTTAAAAAATCTGTATTGTTCCAAACATAGTGTTTATTGAATCTAAAGCACTGTGTTGAATGATTGTTGCACCCGTAGTAGGAATGTAGACTGACCAGTAAACAGCTTCTCCTGACAGCTCAGCTCCCTCTTCAACAGACCTGTACAGAGTCCACAATATTCTAGAAGCTGCTCAGATCAGTCTGTACGTCTCACACTCCATTCTTCCCTCACTCATGAACAAAACCTCAAGATACTTGAACTCCTCCACTTGAGGCAGAATCTCACCCCCAACCCAGAGAAATCAATCCACCCTTTACCAACTGAGCACCATGGACTCAGATTTGGAGGAGCTGATCCTCCTTCCAGCTATGAACCAGTCCAGTGAGAGCTGAGGATCACAGCATGATGAAGCCAACAGAACCACATCATCTGAAAATAATAGAGATGGAATCCTGAGACCAGCAAACTGGACTCCCTCTGCCCCCTGGCTGCACTGAGAAACTCTGTCCATAAAAGTGATGAAGAGAATCTGTGATTACAGGCAGCCCTGAAGGAGTCCAACTCTCATTCTGAAAGGGTTTTGACTGCTGGCAATGTGAACCAAACTCTTGCACCTCATGTATAAAGACTGAATGGCCCATAACAACRGACCCACAATCCCACCACAGTGTAGCTCAAGCACATAAGAATGTATAAAATGTCTGTTGAAAAAGGTTTATCATGACTCCCGCATGCAAAGCGTAAGCGGGAGTCATATTGTTTTCGTTCTGTTTTTTTTTTCCCAGTAATTTTTGGTCAACCGTGGCACAAAAACGGCTGCACCGGTCAACATGAAATTTGGCAGGACTGTTGAAGAGTCTGACCTACACTGCGCCAGCCAACGGTTTTACGATACACCCCATATTTGATGAGGGGGCTCCTTTCAAAGAGGGGGTGTCTGGACATGCAAAAATGCTTATAACTCAGAAACTGTTCAACATAGGAGCTTAAGGTTTTTTTTTGGTTGTTTAGCTCTGATGAAGCTTCATCCATCAGGCCCAATCAACCTTCCGTTCTGGAAACGGAAGGTTGCTGGTTTGATCCCCGACCACTCGACTCAGTTGTGTCCTTGGGCAAGACACCTTACCTTCCTTGCCTACTGATGGTGGTCAGAGGGTCCGGTGGCGCCTGTGTTTGGCAGCCTCACCTCTGTCAGTGTGCCCCAGGGCAGCTGTGATTACAATTGTAGTTTGCCATCATCAGTGTGAGAATGTGTGTGTGCATGGGTGAATGTCTGTAGTGTGAAGCGCTTTGAGTGTCCTGGATGGTTAGAAAGGTGCTATATGAGTACAGTCCCTTTACCATTCAATCAGTGCCCACCCCCCAGACCCCCAATTTATCTGGAAAAAGCGGTATGGTTATAGCTCAAAAACTGTTAAACAGGAGCTTCAGATTTCTTTTGTTGTTCAGCTCTGATGAAGCTCTATCCATCAGGCCCACCATCAG